TCCTATGACATTACAGATGAGGTGCTGCTTGTCATCTGTGAACAGTGTTTTCCGGCAGGGAGGGGCAGAGGGTGTGACATGCAGGGCTTGGAGGAGGAGTTAGATGTACAGCGATGGAGACAGAGAATATGGGGGCTAAATTTAGCCAATGGTTCGGCCGGGGTGGAGCTAATCCTCTTTGCAGTCGAATTATCTGGCCTTCGGATTAGAGAGCTTTGCTTCTATGCAAGACATCTACTCTCTAAAATGATGTCCCATTGCAGGATGTACCATGTTGAAAAGCAGGTGGAGTGAGGGGGGAGTCTGGAAGAGGCGTGCATAAAATGGATAAAGGATATACAAAGCATTTTATAGCAGTAGGTTGAAAGCTCATTGTCATCCTTTAATTAATCATCATACCTGTATCAGCCTCCCTTAAATGTTGAAAATGCCTTCCAAATATTCATAACTGCTGAGCTTAATCTCATTCTGTCACATAAAAGCTATTACTGGATGTATTGTATTGGGATTTTATGTGGGGGATGCAAAGTAGCACAGTAACTATTAGGAGGGATAAAAATCATAAAAAATTTTTTATAATTATGAATTTGAAAAGCACTGATCTATAGTTACTTTTTCTCTGATACCTTTTTTAATCTGATGGAGAACACGTTGACAGGGAAGCTGTCAGATGTGCCCCACAGCATTTGTAGCTTAAAGAAAAATTGTCTCAAGAAGAAGGATACAATTGTTAAAAGAAATCCTTAAAGTTGTAGGGAAGTCATGTTTAAATGTCAAATCATTCCGGCTTAAACATGTATATAAATGTACTCTTTATCAGTTTTTGTTAAGGATGGAATTGCTGGAATCTTCTTGGCCCGTCAGACAGCCGACCTTATTGTTCCAAAACAGCGACCATCACCACAGCTTGAGTAGTGTTTCAATTCTTCTGGAAAATCTCTTGTTGACTTTGTTGCTTTTCATTTGCTTGTGGCGTTACGAAGTCGTTCCAGGCTTTCCGCTAAGATAGGCAAATTTGCTCCCTTCACGTATTTGTAACTCGCTGACATTGACATATGCATGGAAATTAAGCAACTGATGATTTATGGCGTCGAAGTAGACTGAGGCTTTAAGAAGTTGCGCCTTCTAAATTCAAAGTTTTCCATTATAGCGTCACTATGGTTTAAAGTCCATTTAAGGAGATACTGAAGAAATTCTGGGCCTGGCCAGAGTTTTCTCTGACTGCATGGAGTGTAGAATAATGGTGCAAATGCTCTTCACTTTTTCGTTGGTCACCAGTAAGATAATTTAGACCAATGGAAATGTTTCTGCCTTTAGAAAAACCGAAACAGATAAGAATGGTGTTGATTTATTGGTCTGCAGTCATCACTCTTATGAAGATCAGGCTAATGAGAATTAGACTATGCAAGCTACAAGCTGCATGTTTGTTAGAGGAAGCAGCTGGATGCAGGTTAACGCAGTAACTGGGTCAGAAATGGTCAGTTTTTTTTCTTAGAAAAGATTCAACAGGTTGCAAACAAGATTTTTTATAAATACAATTAAAAACAGGATTGTTTAAAGTCGTAGGAAAGTAATTTTTAAATGTCAAATCATTCTGGCTTAAACATGTATATAAATGTACTCTTTATCAAAAATTATTGTCCCAAAATTTAGAACATTTCTATTTTTTTTTTTTATTCTTAAAATCTTTGTTTTTTTTCGTTATCTTCTGCAGGCCAGTTAGTTATACGTCAGCCTGAACAACTAAATGCGGTCAATCATACATCAACAGTCATCCGTCAATCACATTTTTTCAGTCATAGCATCTTGATTCATAAGTCGCAACTAATAAAGAATCATTTCCTTTCCCATTGAGTTCCATCCCAGTGTTCACGGGGATGGACGTCTGTGTCTTCAGCAGGCGTAGAGCTAACAGAACTGGCAGCGTTGCGAGGCAAGGGCTCAAACATGTACGGCTGTAAGCCTTCTACACCAAACCAAGCTTCTGCCGCCCTGGCATCCTCTTCCACAACAACTTCATCCCCGCTTTCCTCCTCTAAATAAAAAATGGATGACGGAGGAGACTCATCCACAACCTCTGAAACAAAACTCTCCTCCTCTTGCATGTTTCCTCTTTCCATAGCGTTCCTTAACAGAGTCGTTTCTGAGTCACTATTTTAGTGCTACTTGGTCCCAATGGAATTTCCCATTGGGAACCTACTAGCACTAAGTTGCTAACTGGTTAGCAAGATGCTTCCGACAAACCAGCCACAATCAAATTTGCTTGCGAACCTTTCACCTCAACAATCCCGCCCCCTTGATATACGACCAATCACATTCACTTTATTCACTTCTGTAAAGTTGGGCACCACTCAGGAGAATTCGGAAATGCAACGGTTGGAATGGCCGTTTCCCTAAGACTTTAATAAGTTAAACTTGTAGCAAAGCTGCTTTTTCCTTTTGTAGGACATATCAGGCATATGAAAGGAAGTGCTCTGTTCAATATATGACAAAATACAATTTTTTGGAGGTCTGAGGCAAGAAACTCTGTAGAGAGGAAACACAGGTTAGTGACCACATAAATCTGTTAGATTTATGTGGTCATCATTATGTGGGTGCCGCCCAGAGTGTCCCAGATGCTGCAGCCTCGGAGAACAAGCAGGAGTCTGAAGCCAGGTCAGGCAAACAGATCAGAACAGGAACAGGCAGGCTAAGAGGTAACCTGACAACAGCCAGATGCATGTCTCGCTCCACCTAGCTCCACTCACATACATCTGGGAACCCGCCATAGGAATTGCCTTTACTGAAGGCTGGCCTTATCAAAACTCCTTGCATATGATTGGATAAGCCACTTGTCTGTCATCTTTATTGACGTGCTATTTCAACCACTCACACCAAAGCTAACCCGTGACGCTGTGAGAGGAGGAGCCATTTGGTAGATCAAGCTCTTGCCAAATCCGGTCGGGAGAAGGGCGAAAACATCGTTTCCACCAACAAAAGCCTTCAAAGCCGTTCTCTGATGTTCTTTTAATGAAACAATATCAGATAGATTGGACAACACAGAAGAACTAGCAGCATCAATACTAACGCTTGCTTCCTCAATGCGAGCCGCCATTGTTGTTGGAATCTCACGGTCGCTTCTCCACTCCAGGACACACCCGCCCTGCATCCTGATTGGACAGACCATAAATTCGGTTGGGGAAATCACTTTCAATGAGCGGGTTCCCAGATGTATGTGAGTGGAGCTGGGCGGAGCGAGACATGCATCTGGCTGTTGTCAGGTTAGCTAAGAGGTCCAGGAGTCCAAAGACAGTTCAGGCAAACCGTTCAGACAGGAACGGGCAGGCTAGTGATTGAGAGGCAGAACAGGTCAGGATCAGGAATTCAAAAACTCCAAGGTACTAAAAACACTCTTACCATTGGCTGGAAAAACCAAGAATAATCTGGCCCTGATGACTGGAGGCAAGCACCTTAAATAGCGGCAGGAGCAGGTGGATCAGATGAGAAACCAGACAGAATTGCACAGGTGAATGAAATGAGTAATTAAGCCAGTCATCAGTGCCTCGATTAAGACACTGTGTGTAACTAGGGACTTTTAAATCAGAGACCAGAAAAATCACAATCTGGGGCCCCTCCAATTCAACATCTATATGCTCCCTTTAATGTAAATAATCAAGATGTCAATGATTTGTAGTTATAATGGCAAGAAAAAAACATCTCTGCAGCACCTCCAAAGTTGCTATATACCTCTTGGATACTTCTTTTATTGGGTTTAGGTGCACAGCTATGCTTCAGTAGGTCTAAATGTACTCTTTCTGTTTTTGTATGATGGATAGAACAGTGGATTATTTGATGTCTTGGCTTATTTCATAAACCTAACCCTGCCTTAAACCTCCATACAATGATCTCCTTTATGTGTTCATTGGTTCTCCTCATGCTATTTATTATTTAATGTTCTTTTACAAACCCCTGAGGCTCTTATGAAACATCTGGATTTGTTCTGAGATTAAATTGGTAACAGGTGGTCTCTATTTACAAATTATGTAATTTCTAAAGACAGATTGTTTCATAAAACTAGGATTGGAATATAAATGGACGCAACACTTTTTAGAGAGTGAATTATTTGTTTTCCACTTCACATTCATGTACTAAGTTGTGTTACTTAACTTATCAAAATTGACATTAAAAACTTTTTAAGGCTTTATTTTCCACCCCTGTTTCTGTATCATCTGCATGTAAATCTCAACAATGATGAATAGTACAAGAAAGCTTTGACTATCACTTACACAAGGCGCCACTGAGACACATTTATATCACGTCAACTCCCCACGTCTTAAAAAAATCATACCACGGCCCCTTCCTTTCTGAGTTAAGGAAGGAGGAATATCTCTTTGATTTTTTTACTTATTGGTTATGTGAGGATGGATGAGCAGTCGCCATTCTTATTCAAATTTTCACTCAAGGACACTTTGGCACACGGCCAGTCCACCTCTTCTGCTTATGGAAAAAAGGAACATCGGGCCCTGCAGGCGGCCATTAACCAAATGTGACATGGGCTGTGAAAACTATTCGGCGTACTGTTTAGATGTAATCTCAAATGTGGACACTCTCTTTCTATGCGGTAATTGCAAAACACTGGAGGCCCTTGTTCATGTTTCCATGACAACAAGCATCTGCACCGGTGAAGTGTCCTTGAGCCCCTAGAAGAAATTAAAATGAAAAAAACCAGCAGAACTTCAATTTCTCTTATGGCAGCTACCGGTGACCTCTGACCCTCTTCGTGGAGGATCGCTTGCAGAGATCAGAAAAAAAGACAAGACCACCGTGCAGAAGGACCGTCAGCTGTCAGTGCAGCCTGTTGCTATTTAAACCTTCAGGACTGTACCACTAGGCTGCAGAGATACGGGGAAGTTAGTCCGGGGGAGTTTCCAGGGAGGGGGGGTGAGCCCTGCGTGGGAGGGATGGTGTGTTTGCTGTGTGTGAGTGAGTGGGGGGGGGGGTGGGGGGGTTGAGAGCTGGCATACTAATCCCTCAGGTTTGGCTGCAGCCCGGCCTCGGGATAAACTGTCATGAATGCTCTGGACGTTGAAAAATGCTACGTGGACGTGTACATTTTTTGAAACATTAATGTGTTCCTCATTCAGAAATTGTTTTTCAAGGGAAACTGCAAACTATGGTAAGATTATATTTGTAATTTTGCTCTTTTATATAGTTTTTTTTTTGTATTGTCCCATAAGTTAGTGAAGAAGGGATAAAGCTGATGCAGAAACAGAAAGTACAGCTACATGATTTATGTTCCGATCCTCATCAACTAAAGGTCTTTTATTGGAAGCTTGCATCTCAAAGAATAAGTGGAGGACAAATTTAGTTAATTGAGGACTCTCCTTGTTGCAACGTCTTTGATAAAAAGGTCTCCAAGGCCTCCTGAGTGTTTTACAAACAATAATCTGGTTACTACCAGAACATCTCCTTTAACTATCCTCAGAAGGTGAAAAGAATGAACTATGTTCCTTTACTGTTGTCATTTTATCTTCAGATCCATCTGATGTATATAAATTAAGAGATCAGTGAATGGATCTGCAGCGGAAAGGATTTCTTTTCTTTTTCATTTGCCTCTGGTTGCCAACTTTGGGTTTTATCTCAACTTCCTTCTCAGAGGGACCCTGAAGCTTTCACAGAGAAAAAACAAAAACAATATAGTTCCAAAAGACAAACAGAGTTCAACCTGCAAGAGGGAAATATTAAAGCTAAAACAACTAAAAGACAGAACACACAAAAAAAGAAATATCTTCCAGAGTTTATGCCCTAAAACTCCACATTTGGTCACATTTCATCCAGAAACCTCTTTGTATTTTATCAAGGTGTTATATCTACTACAGAACCTTGCTAAATAGTGAAGCAAAAATAAGATATAATATGTTGATTTTTATTATTTGTTTAACAAATAACAATCTGTTGTGTGTAATCCAGCCCTCTGAACAACCCCTCTTTTTAAGCATGTCTGAGTTAGCTTTTTTATGCAAAACAGCCCACAGCCAGTCAGACTGGATCTGTGAACATTTGTACATTTGGTCTCCGCTTCTGAATTGAGTTCAGTCTGTTCCAATTCGTTTTTAATTAGTGCTGAAACAATTAATCAGATTAATCATGATTAATCGATTATTAAAATAATTATCAACTAATTTAGTAATAGATGAATCATTAACTGGAGCATAGAGACTCTAAAACGTGACTTTAGCTGAAAGAGCGACACACATAGAGCAGGAATCATACCAAAATTGTAAAATAAATATGTAAACATTTAGAATTTAAAATAAAAACAATTTCTGTCTGTCAATCGGCTCTATCCAGAACTCCTCAAGTAGAAAAGTTTTAGTTTCACCTGCTTTCATTTTGTAAAAGGTCTTCTATAAGGAACCTTTGGTTATTCGATTATAATCCATTAATCAAAAATAATAATTGTCAGATCAAATGATTTGCAAAATAATTGTTAATGCAGCCCTAGTTTTAATCTAAACTACTCTATTGTAGGTCTGGCCATGTGCTAGAGGTCATTTTCCTGCTGAAGGTGAAATCCAAGTCTTCTAGAAGCTCTGATACCTTTTCTTTCAGGAAGTGATTGCATCTGGTTCTGCATAAGCAAGGCACCATCAGAGCACGATGGTTCCACCACCAGATCTCACTGCGGCTGTTTCACATGGATTTTTTTTTTTTAGTCTTATTGAAACAAAAAAACCTTTTCCCAGATGTTATTTATTTGTAAATAAAACTTGTTATTGTCTTGTTGACATATTCTTCCACCTAAGCTGTGGATATTTGCAGCTCCTTTAGAGTTATCACACGTCTCTTGGCTGCTTCTCTGATCAATGCTGTCTTTGACCTACCTGTTAGGATCCAAATCTAAACATAAGGCTGCTGTTTCACTACGTTTAGATTGAATATGAGAATTTCAGCTGGATGAAGCGTGTGCGTACATGTCTGAGTATGTAATGTTTCCAAAGAGCAGCATAGCATGCCGTAAAACGAGAGTTCCTCCCATTCTTCGCTTGCACAGACTCGAGCCGCTGATGAAGTGGAGACAGTAAAGTTCACCGCATTCAAACTAACAGAAGATCAAAACACAAAAAGGTCACTTGTGAAATTGAAATTGCTTTCAGCAAATGAAGTTGCGACCTCTCTGCTTCCTGTTAAAGCTTGTACGCCATTGATTTTCATGATTTCAAAGGGACTTGCTGACTTTTCAGCACTCTCATCGGAAAAAAGGTCACGACCCATCCAAAATCTGAGCACGTATTAAAAACTATTTGACATCTGAATAAATGTATCTGTTTTGGGTGTGAATGCAAATACAGATCGATAGGACAGCGATGGAGGGGGGGGGGGGGGTGGATTATGGGTGGGACTGAGGGTTATGTAAGTAACAGCTGCAGCATGATGATGAAAGCAACATCATTTCCCAGCTCCAGACCGAGCATCGATCCTCCTGTAATTCTCCGCTGAGTTGTTCATGTTTTATTCAGGGAAAAAAATGGATGTTGGTGATCATATCCTGCTGCTGCAGACATTTGTGCCCACAAAACTGGTCTATTCACATCAAAACACAGACTTCACATCCCCAAGGCCTCAGTCGACACTCTGTAATCCACTGTGGCTCTCAACGACGGATGATTTCAACAAAAATGTTCGGAAGGGAGGGGAATATGAAAATAAAAGTAGAGTTTTAATCTGGATTAGATAAAACAACATTCTTCATCAAATAGCATCAAACAAAGCCAAGGTTTCTGTGTTTAATGTCACATGATGCAGGTGACACTTTTAGCGAGATAAAGCCTTAAAATGATCATAGTTTGAAGGAAAGTCTAATTCTATTGATCTATTCAAGCTTGTGAGGGGGCTGGAATGAGAAAGTTTGTAAAAAAAAAAATATGAGTAGCAATAAGTCTACCAAGTATAGGTCCTGTAAATAATTGATATTGGATGAAGCAGCCATACCAGTGCTTTAAAACTGTTAGAAAAATTTTAAAAACAAGAAAGTTTATATCTTAGTCTTGGTTGTTATGCTTTATATCTTCAGAGTTTAGTGTGTTTAAAAGGTTTACTGAATACTGTCAAGGTGATAGAGTTGAGTAGAGTTGGGAATACACACAGCCAGGCTAGTAGTTTGCAGGTAGAGAGGAAAATGTCTGATAGCAGGCGGGAGAAGGCAGATGAAGAGTGAACAAGTTACACAGGGAGGTGGCAGGTTTTGAAACCCAGCGAAAGCAGAGCCAGCAAAGGAACGCAGGATAGGTAGTAGTTGCACACAGTCACAGGATTAGGCTCATACTGAAAGCGAGACAATCTGGCAGAGAATGACAGAGAGAGGCAGGTATTAATAGACATAGTTTCAGTTGAAACAAGTTATTGTTATTTGGGCAGCAGATGGTGAAACTGGTAAACCAATCAGCAGTGTGGAGCAGAGCAGGACGAGAATAAACAGCGAACTCTGCAGCTATATCTCAGTTATCATTTATCTAAAAGTCTTAGAAGTTGCTACCTTCAGTAGAGACATGATCAAACACTTAAAGATTTGCACTGTGAAAGTCGGATATCACATTCTGGAATATATATATATATCTATATATATATATATATATATATATATATATATATATATATATATATATATATATATATATATATATATATATATATATATATATATATAACATGTATATATGTAACAGTTTTCTTCAACAGACGAAAGTAACAGATTCCAGAATGTGATTTCCGACTTTCACAGTGCAAATGTTTATTTGCTCATAGTCAGATCATCATCGGATCATTTTTGTTTTACCTTTTGACATAATCTAATTATATAACTGACCTTGCTTTAGTAATTAAAGAATATTTTTCAACATTAAAGCAATTTAGAAAAAAATGTAACGACACCTAACAATCCAACTCCTTTTATGTGAAATACATTCAGTACAATGGAAAAAAATTGATATATAAAGAAGTCATTTTTTCTTAAAATAAGTGTCTTTTTTCTTGAATTGAGGAGGTAAGTAAGATATTTTGCCAATGGAACAAGACAATTTACTTTTAAAATAAGAAAAAAACGATTTCATCGTCTTATTTCAAGTGTATATTATCTAATTACCTTCTTTTAAGAGAAACAATCTTCATTCCATTGGCAAATCATCTTATTTACCTACTCAAATTGAGGGCAAACACAGTTAATTTAAGAGCTTTTGACTCATTTCTTGATCGTTTTTTTCTTATTCCATTTTGAAAGTCTTGGTTCTGCTGCAGTTTTTATTTTTTTCAGTTGGTTTCACATTTTCTTTTAACACCCTTTGAAACCTGCTGGATTTTAAGGTTTGTTCTGGGACGGTGTGCTACCAGGTCCTGTTTCCGAAATGTATTTCCAAACTATAACACTTCCAACTCCATGCCTTACTGTGCTTTGTCACCAAACATCAGTAAAGCTTTTACTGTGCCAGAGTCTGGTTTCTTGATTGAATCATGGCGGTGTGAACCTGATCCTAGTATGATTACAGCCTGACTTTTTTTAACCAGACCCTGGAGTGGGTTGGTAGCACTGTGATACTGTGATGCATAAAGATCCAGCACACCAAAGACAGGAAGAGATGATGTGATTTAAGAGAAAGGCGTTTGAGTAGAGGAAAAACAAAGTAAGGAATCCTGAGACAGCATACTTTGAAAATGTCTCATGGGGCTACTTAGAGTATTGAATTTTTGCAGGAGCATAACTACAGTTGAAAACCAAAGGAGCAACAGAAAGACAAGAGGGATTTTCTTTTTAGTGCCTTTTTTTCTGCTGAATTATTGATAAACTGGAGAAATACTGACCTGGAATCAATCCATTTGCCATTGTTTGGTCCTGTTTCATTGACACCATATTTGGTATAATGTCCAAAAAATGTTTTTTTGACTCACCTGAGCAAATTTTTTATCTTTTCTTGTCTTTGTTTAGTTTCTGTTTAGAAAACTTTAGTCTGACATTAATGTTTTAATCTTTGAGACCAATAAGTTTCCTTTTCAGACGTGTCCTATAAAATCACACTAATGCAGTCTGTATCTTCTCACATCATTCTCACATCAAGAGCAGCAACAGCATCCTACAGATCCCATTAGAAGATTTCTAGACTTCTTTTAACATCTTTCATCCTA